CGAATCACCGGAAATCACATCCGAGCCCTCTAACTCATAAGTCAACATCCGGTTGACTTTTTCCAAACCAAACCTTCCTTAAAGAGACTAAGTGTCTCATTTCCTACCAAAACCTCTCCAAACCGGCTCGATCACATAAGATACGGATAATGAAGCATAAAGAAGCTGAAAATGGGGAAAACGAAGCGGTAACTCACGTGACGACGGGTCGGGTCGTCACAAAAATGGGATTTGCTAGTCCTACTAGGGGGTTTTAATTCGGGTTTAAAGCCACTGATATAGTTCGAAATAAAATAAATGTCATTCAATAGGGGATTTACCAACAACATGTATGATTTCAGCTCCTCGAACTTCTCCTGATAGCTTTCCACACTACCAGTTTGTTTCAGATTGTTAAATTCGTCCACAATATCAATGGGTCTCACACTCTCAAACCTCCTACAAATTTCTGCGCAAAACAAGGGCCAGTTAGTCCCCTTCTTCTCCAGGATATGTCTATCAAACCATATATCTGCCTTGTCTTTCACGTGCACAGCCACATAGCTCATTTTGCTTTGTTCAGGGATCTGATAAATTGTAAAAAACTGCTCACATTTACGAATCCATCCCCTGGGGTTAACACCATTGAACTCCGAAAAATTTATTTTTGCTTTAAAGGGTTGTGACTGAGGGTCTGGGTTTATGGCTGGTGCAGTGGTTGGTAAAGGGAGTAAATGAGGGTTAGTTGCTGGTACATTTGTAGTGGTCAATGGAACAGTGTTTGTAGTGGGGGTTGGGATTGGAAATGATAAGGATGTGAAAATGGTTGAAGGTGTTTGCGATGAGTTTAGCGTGGCCCTTAATGGAGGAAATGTGAAACCCCTGCCTACAGGATAGCTAGTTGGAGTTGAAATCGGGGTTACCTGAGCTGGAGTATTCGAAGTTTGCCCAGATTCTCGTATTATCAGTGGTCCTTGAGCTGAAGACGCCATAGATCTAGGAGAAGCGACAGTTTCTGCTCTCTTCAAGGCATCGAGCTGAGAAATAATTAGTTCCAGCCGCCGATTTGTCTTTTGTGTTTCCCGTAGCTGAGAGGAAAATTGATTTTGACTAGATTCCAGTGATTCAAAACGCCTCGCATTCTCCGTAGCCATGGAATCCAGCTGGGTTTCGAGTTTTTTCATACCTTTTTCGAGGCCCTTAAATTTGTCAGCGTCAGCCATTGTTATCCACGAGAATCGGATGGCTCTAATACCAATGTCACAAGCTGAGCTATAAACAAGCTCAGTCGTGAAGAAGCAAAATAGGGAAGGAGAGGGAAAGAAGAAGAAGATAGAGAGGAAGTTGGATAATATTTCTGATATCATAAAATGCGTACATATGCCAGCTAAATAGGAATCTAGCATTGGATTCTAATGTAACAACCTATTACACCACTGACTACCACGTGTCCCTACTAGAAGGGATTTAATGGGACTTAATTGTAAAAACAAGAAAATAAAGATAGGGACTAAACTGAACATAGTAAGACTTATGGACCTCTACTACTAAGCTTAATTCATGACAATCTCTAAGAGAATTCTACAGATCTGGGTTTGAATTATAATTAGTAGTAACAATTTAGGAATACAGATTTAATGTAGTAGAGTATTGGTGGTTGAGGGATATCAGAGATGAGCCAAAAGAAGTCGAGATTTGACTGACTCTTAATTTGTTACTTACAGACCAATTTTGTAAAGTTGTTCTTTGTTTGCTTGCGCTTTCATCACTGGGTTTGGTTGCTTATTTCCATTGAATAATACCATGGATTTTGGCCATAATCAACTGCGACAACACCAAGATTTTTTTTTTTTATCGGAGAAGATGACGGCGAACGGAGACGCCATGGATCTGGCCATAACCAACCTTAATGGAGTTTGGAGTTTTGCATTTTATTTCTTGTGTTAGTTTGAATCAGGACTTGTAAACTTGTGACTAATGTACTAGGATTCCTAATTTTGGTTTTGTAATCCAAAGGTGATAATTGCGGGTTGTTTTATGGTGGTGGGCGTCAATTGAAATAAGGTGAGAAGAGAAAGAGATCGAAGGGAGAACAATTAAGGGGTATACTTGTAGTTTGATATTATTGTATTTTATTAAAACATAATGACATGTGGCACTATATTATTGGTGCGTCACATGCCTCACTTTTTCTGAGATGCTTAATTATAAAAGTGATGTGTATTATACACACTATGAAAAGATTGAGTGTGTAAGGTTATTTTCGTTCCCAAAAATTATGTAACGGGGATTTGGTACATAATTGAGGTGGTACCCTATGTATTTTGCCCTTTTTCTTCTAATTCCTTTTCTTTGTTGGCGAGGTTGACAAGTTGTGTCTCCAGGATAGAATATTTCCAAAAGTGTAAGAAGGGAACCAAAGCCAAAGTATGCCTGCGTGCCTTAAGGAAATATGTATGTACATACACTTTGAAGCATATGATGGATCATTTTGATGTAAATTGGTTTGAAGTCCTCAAGTTTTTCAAAAAAAAAATGGAATAAAAGTCCTCAAGTTTTTTTCTTATTAATCGATCTTTTTCGCCTAGCTCACTGTGAATTCTTTTCCCAGAAATAACTACTAATGTGATGTTTGTTTAGAAGCAAGTTATGCAGGTGTTAAGGATATAAGGATTAGTAATTCAAAACTATAATATATGAATTGTAATGTAAAGATTATTTGTTCTTGAATATTTAGTTTGTTGTATTACAATTTATTATGCGATATATTTTTAATATATATTTATTGCTAAACCAAAAAAAATATAACTACAAGGACGGGTTATTTTTGTCATTTAGTTATTTTAATTCTTGTATTACTACTTATTTAAAAAGAATTCCATACAAAATAATAGTACATAACTTTTTGCATAACTAATGCGCATATTAATTACACAAAACAGAAAATTTGAACCAAATATTATAGTAGTAATAAATTATGTTAAGGTTTATGCGGAAAAGAAAATTAACCAAACACTGCACTAGTGTTAAGGCAGTACTTTTATACTATGTTATATTTTCTTATGTTTGCTCTATCCTTTGCTACAGCTTCTTGAAGCTATCTATACATGGAGATCGATCTATTCATGTTTTTTTAATTTTTTCTATTTAATGTCAAATTATTAAAGGAGATGTGCTACCTTTTGGCCTCTGCCCTCTTAATAGCCTATTTGGCCAATCTTCTACAATTAGCTTATTTTGAAAAGTATTTCTTAGAAAAGTAGTTTGTGTTTGGCTACAACAACAATAACAAATCCATTTCGATCCCATAAATGGGGTCTGGGGAGGACAGTGTGTACGCAAACTTCACTCCTACCTCATAGAGATAGAGAGATTGTTTCCGATAGATCCTCGGCTCAAGGAACAATGAAGATAAAGCAGCCAAGTAGCAAAGCATATTAGCAACAATGTAAGATGGTAGCGGGCGTAAATGCCACAACATGCATAATAAGAACCATAAATAGAAAATTACAAAAATAGTCCTAGTACTACTGAATGGCCTAGGAGGAACACACTACTATCTGTCAACATACAACCCTAATCTTCGACTTCCACACCTTCCTATCATGCGTCATGTCCTCGGTAAGCTGAAGCAATGACATGTCCTGCCTAATACTCTCTCCCCAATATTTCTTAGGCCTACCCCTTCCCGTCCTCAGACCCGCCATGGACAACCTCTCACACCTCCTCACCGAAGCATCTATTTCTCTCCTCTTCACATGCCCGAACAATCTCAGCCTCGATTCCTGCAACTTGTCTTCCATAGATGCCACTCCTACCTTGTCCCTAATAACTTCATTCCTAATCCCGTTTTTTCCTAGTATGCCCACACATCCATCTCAACATTCTCATTTCAACTACTTTTATCTTTTGGACATGGGACTTCTTGACGGGCCAACACTCAGCTCCATACAACATAGTCGGTCTAACCACCACTTTATAGAACTTGCCCTTAAGTCCAGGAGGCACATTCTTATCACACAAAACCCCCGAGGCGAGCCTCCATCTCATCCACCTCGCTCCAATACGATGAGTAACATCCTTGTCAATCTCCCCATTGCCTTGAATAATATATCCAAGATACTTGAAACTATCTCTTTTAGGGATGACCTGAGTGCCAATCCTCACTTTCACTTCTTCTTCATGCATCCCCTAACTAAACTTGCACTCCAAGTACTCAGCTTTTTACCTACTCAATTTGAAACCTTTAAACTCCAGCATTTATCTCCAAACTTCCAACTTAGCATTAACTTCGCCTCGCGTCTCGGACTATGTCATCAGCAAATAGCATACACCATGGCACCTCATGTTACGCGTCAGCACATCTAACGCTAAGGCAAACAAAAACGGGCTAAGAGCCGATCCCTGATGTAACCCCATCTCCACTGAGAAATGATCTGAGTCTCCTCCTGCAGTCCTCGCCTGAGTCTTTGATCCCTCGTACATGTCCTTAACCGCCCTAATGTACGCCACCGTAACACCGCTAGCCTACATATATCTCCATAGGACCTCTCGCGGGACTTTATCATAGGCCTTCTCTAGGTCTATGAATACCAAAAGCAAGTCCTTCTTCCTCCCCCTATACTGCTCCACCAATCTTCTCACAAGGTAAATAGCTTCTGTAGTTGACTATCCCGACATAAATCCGAACTGCCATAATATGACTCAGCAACTTGATACCCCTATAGTTGTTACAGTTCTGGATATCACCTTTGTTTTTATACAACAGGATCATCAAACTCCGCCGCCATTCTTCGGGAATCTTCTTCATCCTGAAAATGACATTAAACAAACCAGTAAGCCACTCCAAGCCTGCCTGATCCACTACCTTTTAAAATTCCACTGGGATCTCATCTGGCCCAGCAGCGTTACCCCTGCCCATCTTCCGCATCTCCCCCTCAACCTCTACGCTCCTAATACGCCTATAAAACCCAAAATCCCTCTGACCCCCTGAATTCTCCAACTCACCTAGCACAATGTTCCTGTCCCCTTCCTCGTTCAAGGGCCTATGAAAGTACTCCTGCCTTCTACGCCTGATACACGTCTCTTCCACCAGAACCTTACCATCTTCGTCCTTGATACACCGTACTTGGTCCAGGTCCCGAGCCTTCCTCTCCATAATCTTGGCTAACCTAAATAGCTTCTGGTCGCCTCCTTTTTCCCAAAGATCCTCGTACAATCGCTCAAAAGCTGCAGTCTTAGCCGCCGTGACTGCCAATTTTGCCTCTTTCCTTGCCTTCTTGTAACACTCCCTACACATCCTCTTCTCCTCCTCGTCCGTGACTGCCAATTTTGTGTTGGGCTAATTAAATTAAAAAATACTTCGAAGCAGAAATTAGTGTTTGGCCAAGCTTTTAGAAAGTGTTTCTAAGTGTATTTTTCTCAAAAGTGCTTTTCAAAAAAGTGTATTTGGGGAGAAACTATTTTTTTCTGCTTCTCGAAAACTCCTCCCGCTTCTATTCAAAAGCACTTTTCTTTTCTTCTAAAAGCTTGGTCAATCACTTCAACTTTGACAAAAAAATGCTTTTGACCTTGGATAAACTTCGCCAAACAGACTATAAGTAAGTTAATCAATATACAGAGATGCATGCTTACAAGATTATTTTTTATTCATTCTCATCTAAACTAAATTAGAAAGAAATAAGTTTCATAAACTCGATTTCTTTACGATCGTGCAAAGCGCGAGCAGATTTACTAGTTAGTTAATATACATTGAAAAAGAGGTTATATAAATTTGTGTGGACTAAGAACTGAAATCATATTGTTTAGTTAGAATTAAATATTAATGGTAACAACCATTAATATTTACTTTGCTTATTTTGATTTATTAATATGATTTTTTTAATTTATTTATCATCTATACTATATTAAAAGTACGAATGCCCTTAGCGAAATGTCGTTCGCCTTTATTACCCTTAAAAAATTAAGTTTACACTGGACAAAAAAGTAATTTTATTATTTTTCTAATATTTAGAAATAGTTATTTAATTCATTCCCTAAAATTTAGGACTTCGATTGTGTACCAAATCCTTCCTTATTTGAGCCATGTAATACAACATATCTGTAAAAAAAATTGTACGCTTCATTAACATGTAAAAATCTTTGGATGAGACACTTTAAATTCCTAAAGTCATATTAGGAAACGTATGAGCACTTTGGAATCCTTTTAGCTATAGGAGTCTATTTTAAAAAAAAACATTAACCAATTATATTTCTATAAATATTTTAGGCAAAAGTTTCGTTAAGTATTCATATATATATATATTTTAGGTTATAATCCANCATCACACACATTCCACAAAAAAGATTGAGTTGGTGCACATAACTCGCTCTTAGGAACGTTTTGAAAATTTTGCCACGGGTGGTTTTCTTCAGAATATGTATGGAGATCAATAGTAGAATTATCTACACCTAAATTTCTATAATTCCAAGATGCCATGTTTCTCAAATCAACCGATATAAAAAAAATATAAAAAAACAAAATAAAATAAAAGCTCAAACTTGAACCCTAGCAATAAAATAAAAGCTCAAACTTGAACCCTAGCAATATATACAGCTACAACTACACCGTTAGTTCCCCGGCAACGGCGCCAAAATTTGATCACGCCCAACTATGCCTTATAAAAAGGACAATGCAGTCGTTGCAAATATAATCCGGTTTACAAGTCCGGAGTCGAATCCCACAGAGAACTAAGGTTTAGCTACAGCTGTTCACTATCACCTAGATTTTGGAGCAACTTTGGAGTGCCATTTTCATCACCAAGCATGAGGTAAGTGATATCTACTAGTTTTGAGTATATACAAGGTTTATATATGGATTTAGACTTGGAAAATTGTAGAAAACTTGAGGTTTGAGGGAAAACCTAAGAAAACTAGTATTCTTGGATTTTGACCACGTATTTTGGGTATGGAATTTAGAAGAAAATCATATATTTGAGTTCGTGAGGCTATGGGTAATCTTTATCTACCAAAAAATTTCGGATTCCGAGCACATGGGCCCGAGGGCGTTTTTGGTCAACTTTTTTGATCNAATTAAAATTTTGTATATTAAATTTTTCCTTATTAAAATAGGTATGAAGTACTAATATTAAGGAATTTAAAATCAGTAAATATTTTACCTTAGGTAAATTGTACTAATTGACAATACATCCTTTTTGCAATACGTATAAAATCAAGATGAGAACGATGGTGACTTCAATTAATTTATAATTAAAAATTAAAAAATGGTGACATAAAATCATATCCATCAAATTAAAATTATTTAATACAATAACGTCTAATTAAAATTATTTCAATGCAGAATAATCAAATATGTATTTTAAGTATTCTTATTTAATTATATAAAGTAATTAATCCATGTTCAAAGCACCCAAAATAATTATTTAATATCATATTTATTTATAAAAAATTATACAAGCCTAAATTTATATATATATATATATATATATATATATATATATATATATATATATATATATATATATATATATAAGCACGAAGCCCTAATCGAAATATCGTCGCCTTTTTTTACCCTTTAAAAGTTAATTTCACACCAGATAAAATAGTCATTTAATTATTTTTCTAATATATAGGACTTCAAAATCAACTAAAATTTTATTTAAGAATATCCTAATATTTAGGTCTTCAAATTCAATTAAAATTTACCTTATTAATCTTTTTCCTTATTTTTGACCAGTTTTTATAAATATCCTTTTGGAGTTTAGTAAGTGACATTAAAGTTTTTTAAATTCTTAGCCTCTAAGGTATATAATAGTATTTGTTTTCTCCAAATTACCAATAATTACCTAAAAATATGGAACATCCATCAGCAATGTATGTTTTTTTTTTCATGTTAAATTTTAAGAGTTTTGATTTAATCTTAACTTTAAATTTCTAGAAGTCTGAACTAATTTGGTATTAGTTTAGAAGTAAATTAAGCTACAGTCATACTATGTGAATTCGCAACTACAGTTAATTTTTTAAACTTAAATTAAACTAATGTATTCGGAACCCTTGAAATAACTATAAATTTGTCATTTTCCCCCGATAATTTTGAAAAATTGACCTCAACATTGTGAATTCTGAAATTTCAAAACTGTTATTAGCAGAGTACATTCGAAGTGAGTTTAGGATAGTATTGACTTTTATTTGGTATTGGATGAACGTGCAAAGAAGAAAATTTGGACTTAAATCAATAAGAATCTAGGCAACTTTTTTACACAAGAAGGGGTTCATTTGGCTATAATTTTGATTAACTTTGAATGAAGAATTTTTTTTTAGTATAACGACATTATAAACGTAGAGTTTACAAAGAGACCATGCTGGATGAGATACAACAACATAGCATATTTGTATCTTATATATATAATAAAATATTTATAAATATAATTACTATAGAACTAATTACAACTATAGTCATTCCGAAAATGTTGAATTCAGCTATATATTATATCAATGTACTAATATTTTTTTCACCATTTAAACATATATTGCGTTTAGTTTTACCTCCGTTGCAATTGTTTAATAATTTGTATACATTTTATATTGATTAACGTGATGCACATGTGCAACGCACGTACACTAAAACTAGTTACTATAAAAACTACTACTATTTAACCATTTTGCCCTTTCTTATTACGTTGTTGAATTAAAAGAAAACAAGAACATGGCCATGGACACATAACACTAATTTAAGATAGAAAGGATAGTTGTTACATATCGTTTCATAATGTATCGTATCGTATTGTATTGTATTGTACTGTATTGTATGATAAATATAATATTTGGATAGATTGTGTCGTTTGCCATCGTTTAATGATATAACGCACCAACAATATGAAGAATAAACTTGCAATATTATAAAGAAAAATTATGATACAGGATAAAAATATTATATAAAAAGGTAGGGTAATGATAAAATAAAATTATTTAATAATAATGAAGGGTGAGATTGAGAGAAAAAGACAAGGTAACGACGCGACCACACCAAATCGATCGTTACATAAAGTGACACATTTCATCGTTATGTAACGACGGATCTAACGATACGATACAATAAAATTTAAGTAACAATCAAAACAAACATCGTATTTAAAGTAACAATACGATACAATACAATGAGTAACAACAATCCAAACAAGCTGTTAAGATAGAAAAGAAAAAAAAGAAAATAAAAGAAGCTAAGTGCATCATCAATTTCCAATACTGTCCCTCCCACCCACCCCCACC